GGGAGGTGTGGGGGATGTTGGGAGCAGTGTGGAAGGGTGTTGGGAGGTAGGGCAGTGTGGGAGGTGGGGGCGGTGTAGAGGGGTGTTCGGAGGTGGGGGCAGTGTAGAGGATTGTTGGAGGCAGTATGGGAGGTAGAGACTGTGGGGGTTTTGGGAGGTGTGGTGCAGCATCGGGGGTGTCTGTGTTGGGATGCCAAGCACTAACACATGCATCTCTCGCATTATGTTGGCAAATCTATCACACATCCATCCTCTGTACAGTGCATGTGGGGAGGAGAACTCATCTGGAGCTACGTGAAGGCACTAACTACACTGCACTTTATGGACAAGCTATATTTTATTCACAAAAGCAAAACAGCTTATAAAATACATCACCGCAACTATAATCTAGTCTCATTTTTTCTTCCCAAGAACCAGGATCTCAGCCTTCTCTTCCTAGCTTCGGTTTATGCCTGGTCCATTTTAGTCTTCAGGTCTCTGCTATTACCTACATACTGTGGCAGAAAAGCGGGGGAGGGAACAGACGTATCATTGCATATAGCAACAACAAATAAATAGAACAACCAGGCCAGACTCTTCAAAAGGGGATTTATGTTTGTTTGTTATGCTTATGCATTTCCTTAATGTGTATAGTTCAGCATTAGGAGCACAAATAACTTTAACAAAATGCACTTGATCTAATACACTGCATGCCACTGATTATTTGTAAAAATATTCAAGCACAACATAACATTATGAGGTTTATATTTTTCACCAATACAAATATAATTATGGATATTCCAGAACAGACGTTTAGAAAAACCTACTGCATAATGAGTAGACAGTATTCTGAAGAATAAACCGGTATGTATTGAAACTACACCACTTCTGACCAGCTTTCTCAGAGAATCTGTGTTTTATCCTCTTTCCTGAATTGTGCCCAACACAATAGGATCCAACCCTGATTGGGGCCTTGGAGTACTTTTGTAATACAAGTAATAAATAAAATGGAAATGGTAAAGTGTGAGAGTGTGTGCTACATATTTGAAACTTACCTTCGATTGTCTGACAGGCTCAAGTCTTCTGATCTAGATTTAGATTTTTAAAAAATGAGAGAGAAGATTATTTAAAACGAATTAAACGCTTCACGTAGTCTCGAAACTACAGAGCATATTCAGTTCTGTCTCTTCAAAATTCCAGCAATTCAGAAGAGAATTTCTTGCTATCTAAGGTGAATTCTACTGACGAATACAGAGTTCCTATAAAATACATTATTTTCCTGCAGGACAGGAAGACTTTCAAAGTGCAATTTCTGTAAAAAAAAAAAAAAAAACTTATTATGAAAATGCCATATACTGATTTTGGCCCCTGTCCTGCATCAGGTTCCGCTAGTGCAAATCCCTGTGCCCATGACTTACATGTAGCCTTGGCAGAATTACATTTTTATTTTTTTATAACTCTGATGGATAATATCAATGTTTACTTTTACCTATTTAAATGTTCAGAGTTGTGCAATATTATGAGTTTTAAGAATTTTTTTTCAATCTGTATTCATTTACATTTTCACAGTTGTAGAAAGTTATGGTGGAGGTCAGGCAATAATTATTTAATGACAGTAGACATTGAGATTCAACAAGTTAAAACTTTCTGACCATTAAAACAAATTGTCAACATCACATGTCAAAATAGCCAAATTAAATACCTTTAAATCACAGTCTAATAAGTTCTCAATCATTTTCCTTACTTTGCCTATGGGCAAATTTTGATTATCATTGATGGAAATTTTTGTTGCTGTTGTTTGGTGTGTGTTCGGTGAAACTGACATTTACTGACACCAACGAAAATCTAATCCTTCCAAGCCTATTTACATGGGACTGGAGACAGAGACACAGGCATAAGGGCCCAAGCTAGTAGATTGAGTCACAGTTTGGCTCCATCTTTCATAGATTCATAGATTCTAGGACTGGAAGGGACCTCGAGAGGTCATCGAGTCCAGTCCCCTGCCCGCATGGCAGGACCAAATACTGTCTAGACCATCCCTGATAGACATTTATCTAACCTACTCTTAAATATCTCCAGAGATGGAGATTCCACAACCTCCCTAGGCAATTTATTCCAGTGTTTAACCTCCCTGACAGTTAGGAACTTTTTCCTAATGTCCAACCTAGACCTCCCTCGCTGCAGTTTAAGCCCATTGCTTCTTGTTCTATCCTTAGAGGCTAAGGTGAACAAGTTTTCTCCCTCCTCCTCATGACACCCTTTTAGATACCTGAAAACTGCTATCATGTCCCCTCTCAGTCTTCTCTTTTCCAAACTAAACAAACCCAATTCTTTCAGCCTTCCTTCATAGGTCATGTTCTCAAGACCTTTAATCATTCTTGTTGCTCTTCTCTGGACCCTTTCCAATTTCTCCACATCTTTCTTGAAATGCGGTGCCCAGAACTGGACACAATACTCCAGCTGAGGCCTAACCAGAGCAGAGTAGAGCGGAAGAATGACTTCTCGTGTCTTGCTCACAACACACCTGTTAATACATCCCAGAATCATGTTTGCTTTTTTTGCAACAGCATCATACTGTTGACTCATATTTAGCTTAGTTTCTAAAACTAATTTGCAGATCTCTCTTTCTTCATACAATTTAAATGCCCTTAGTTGGTCCCCCACATTGCTATTCACATTTCCACTTAGACTGGTGGATTTTGGTTGCCTTTCAAGTTTTTTAGTTTTCACTGGCATATGAAGCCACAGTTGTATGTATCTTAAATATTTAATTTTTCCCTTTTCCATTGTGATTTTCCCAAGTATTACTGAATTCAAGCCAATTTTCTTTAACTCCTTTTATACAGCTACAGGCCTGACTTTCTGAAATCAGTTTTTTCTGTTACTGTCCTTTCTACAACAGCGTATTTAGCATAGTATGTCCATTATTGCCTAGCTCCATTTGTGTATGCTCACGAAATCGTCTCAGAAGTTTAAAAGCATACAGTTCCCAATGCACACCACTGACTGTCCATTCAACCATCTCATATTCATATGATCTTGCTCATGAACTCATCACCTCCACCACTGCCTAGAGAGATCCCAGATCTGTAAATGAAGGCTTGGAATTAGTTAATTAGGTGAACAAAATTATTTACTCATCGGCTTGTGAGTCCTCCTCCTTTGAGCAGAATCTACTCAAATCATTCCATTTTACAATCATGATGATAGAACCAACAAGGACAGGCAGAAAGAGACAGAAACTTAGCAGCAGCCAATTCTTCAAAGTGTTTTGGGAAGCTCTTTCTAAGATCATATCTAGAAAGGAAAACACACAACAGATTTCACAAATCCAAGCTGCTCAACTCCCAGCATTCTGTGTCGTTTATAAGGGGAAAGAGAGAGAAAGTTATCTGAGATTATAAAAGCATACAGTCCTTTCTAGAATAAAATATTGTTTCCATTTGGTTAAAAATGGAAATTGTGATAACTTTGTGTACAAGTTTACTCATTTCCTGAATCTCATTTATAGTCATGGCTTAATAATAAATGAGAGTTACTTACTGGAATGAAGTTCTCTGAGTATATTGCCTCAACATACACAATCTGTGGCATAAACATTTAGAGCAGTAAAATTATTGGGACCACGTAGAGTCACCCTCAGGACCTAGCATTCAGAACTGAGGTTACTGAAAGGTGACAGACTCACTCGTCCCTTAGTTCCAGTCACACAGTTGTAAGCCTGATTGAAAACTCCAACGAAGTAGGGTGCATGAGTGTGGATGAGCAGAGGAACTCCAGTAACCTTCCTTTCTTGTTCATGAAATTGCATAGGCACATCCTTGCTCTTGGAAGATTAATATGCAGTTACCAGGGCCGTAGCAACAAAGAATGTGGTCCCCTCCGAACGGTGGCCCCCTCCGAACATATGTCCGGGCGGGGCCCCTTACAATGCAGAAACTGGAATGCAGTATTTATTTTGCCACTTTTAGGGGCCCCCTTCCTTGCAGGGCCCCCTCCGGTCGGAGGGTACGGAGGGCACTCGCTACGCCTCTGACAGTTACTACCCAATTAAAAGGATATGGTGGAGGATCAACTGACTGGAAATTGTAATACTGCTCTCCCTAAAGGGGCATCTGACGTAGCTCCCAACTCAAGAAAGTAGCTCATCTTTCAAAAGGCCTGAAATATGTTTCCCTTGCTTTTTTTTAATCTTAGATATATCAGGAATATAGTCTTCTGTCCCTCTCCCTTGTTTTTGCTGGAAGGACCCAGAGTAGTGGATTTGGGAGCTCAGGAGGATGCTGAATAACTAACAAAAGAGCTTTTCTTGTGAATGTTTGTTAGGTGTTTGAAGTAAAGTTTTAAATAGTTTGAATAAAATCACTTCTAACACTGCTCTACAGCCAAAATGCTTCTGAAATAAATGTAGTCAAACTTTACTAATTCTGGGTCACTGAGAACGAAAATGATGCTTAAAATTGTTGATTGGCTCTACTTTTCAAGGTATGCTATTGGGTCAGTATATACGACCCTTGACTTCGGAATGGCGGAGGATAAGTGAGTTATAAAGGGAAGGGATCTCCATTTAAACCAGAAATGACTAAAATACATCTTTGACTGGATCTATGAATAAATCTATGACTGGGTTTGGACAGTACTTGCTTTGTAGGCAAAACAATGAACGATGCAATCTGAAGCTGGTATTGCGTCATACATGATATGAATTGCATCATGTTATTCCTAGAAGTCATGGATGATGCAATCATAACGAAGCTTATATCACTCTGCTGAACAAATTGCCCTATATCAGCCCTAGAAATCATACAGTGTCGTGCTCTCTTATTTGTCAGTGTTTGATTTTGCAAAGGGACACATTTCTGTTTAGCCAAAGTGATCAGAGATGCCTCGTACTTGTGTGAACAGTGCAGATAACTTCTGCTATGTTTGTGGTGAAGTGACTTTTGCATCACAAAAGTGCAGTATAACCACTATGGTTAAGAAAGCCTATCACCTTTATTTTGGCTGCAAAATTGGAGATCAGGACAAGATGTGGGCCCCACACATATGCTGCAACACTTGTGCAACAAATCTTCGCCAGTGGTTGAACAGGAAAAGGAAATCTATGCCTTTTGCTGTGCCAATGATTTGGAGAGAGCCAACAGATCATACCCACAATTGTTACTTCTGCATGGTGCCTCCAGTTGGGAAAGGTGTGTCAAAGAAGAAAAAGTGGACTGTGCATTATCCAAACATTCCATCAGCTATACGCCCAGTACCCCACGGAGAAGGACTGCCGGTTCCCGATGCACCAGAATCACTCTCACTTGAGTCAGACGAGGAAGAGGAAGAGGATGAAACTTCTGGTCCTGAACCATCAATGTCACAGGACCCACATTTTCTCCCATCCTCCTCCTCTGAACCACACCTCATAACACAAGGTGAACTGAATGACCTTGTCAGGGATTTGGAACTACCCAAGAGTAAGGCAGAGCTGTTGGGCTCCAGACTACAGCAGTGGAATCTCCTGGCAGGTGACGTTAGGGTTTCCATGTTCCGTGACCGTCAAAAGGATCTTGTCCCATTCTTCTTCATGGAAGGTGATCTTGTAGCCTGCAACAACATCGACGGTGTGATGGCAGCCCTCAACATCGTTCACGATCCAGATGAGTGGAGACTGTTCATTGATTCATCGAAGACGAGTCTTAAAGCTGTTTTACTGCATAATGGCAATGTTTTGCCATCAATTCCAGTTGGTCATGCAGTCCATATGAAAGAAACCTATGACAACATGAAACAACTTTTGAGGTGCATAAACTATGACCAACATCAGTGGCAGCTTTGTGGCGATTTGAAGGTTGTTGCTCTCTTGCTTGGTCTGCAGACTGGATACACAAAGTACTGCTGTTTTCTCTGCGAATGGGATAGTCGTGCAAGAGATTCCCACTACATCAGGAAAGATTGGCCACTCCGACAGTCATTGGAGCCTGGGAGGAAAAGTGTTCAGCATCCACCACTTGTTGAATCAAGGAAGATTTTGTTACCACCCTTACACATCAAGCTGGGTCTGATGAAGAACTTTGTCAAGGCCATTGACAAAACACAAGCAGCTTTCAAGTACCTCCGTGGAAAATTTCCAAGGTTAAGTGAAGCTAAGATAAAGGAAGGTGTCTTTGTTGGTCCTCAGATTCGTGAACTTCTTCGAGATGATGCATTTGACCATGGACTGCGTGGTAAGGAAAAGACGGCATGGAAAGCCTTCCAATTAGTGGCAATACATTTTCTCGGACACAACAAGGCAGACAACTACAGGTCGTTGGTGGAAAACCTCCTCGAGGCATACAAAAGCCTTGGTTGCAACATGTCACTAAAGATACATTTTTTGCACTCTCATCTAGATTTTTTTCCACCGAACTGCGGAGCAGTGAGCGACGAGCACGGCGAGCGATTTCACCAGGACATTGCAACAATGGAGAAACGCTATCAGGGCAAATGGAGCCCATCAATGCTTACAGACTATTGCTGGACAGTGACAAGAGATGCTCCATTTAATGAATACAAGAGACAAGCCAAGAAGCGCCGAGTAGACACTGAATAGGACTAAACTATGTATATAATAGTTTTTTGCCTTTTGATTCATAATAAATTTTATTTATATAACCCTTTTGCTGATTTTTAAAGTGTTACATAAACAGGACAGGTGAAATATTATCATGTAAAGCAACCATAAACACATGAAAAGACCTAGGTTTACAATTTATGATTAAAACTCTACTATCTACACAATATACATACATATTTTTACATAAAATGTAAAAACTTAAATATCTTAGAAACAGTAGCCAATCAGTTGTTTTAATTGTCATATTTGAATTCAGCACATCAAAATACATAATAAATAGCACATTTTATCTCTGAAGCAGACGACGTCTCAAAAATTGTAGACCAGTGTAATCAGCCAATCATATTTACTAGTTATTTGGTCATCAATAGAGACTTCTAGGAAAAACAAGGCTGGTAAGATCTGAATTTTTGGCATACATTGAAAGGAAAAAATCCAAATCAATCAAAGACCCACCATACACTAACATACAATTCCAGACCTTCTGTATACATCATAAAGCAGAATAAAGGACACAAGCATTTTTTTTTAACCTTTGCAGGTCAACTTTAACATTGAGCTTGTGAAATTTTGACTCCTCATTTGAGACTATATGGTTTAGAAAAAATACTGACATTATAATAATATTGCGGTTTAGGCAGAATTCAATAATCATCTTCGGTAAAAGTTTTAGATTCACAGAAGCACCAATTTCTCCTTCTAGACTGAAAGCTCTCTAGTGTAGAGATTATCTTTATTCATGTACCTGGTACAGGGCTGAGCCCATTAACAATGCTTAACAAAAAAAAATAGAAAGAAAATCTGTAAAATGGGGGATTACTCAGTAAAGCTTGGATATCACAGACCCTCCTCACTAACACTGGAATTTTTTTACCAGCTTCTGATGCACAAACTGTTTCAGTTTTGGTCGCAAGTTTTAATTCCACACAATTGTATTCTCTAAAGTATTTTTTTTACTTTCTTTAGACTTAACAGTTTTGAAATCAAAGTCATGGATTATGTTTTAAAGTTAACTTTTCAAAACAAAGTGAATATTTGTATTTTGTAGTTTAAATATTTAGGGATCAATTTTAACAATGAAGAAAGAGAGACACTGATTGTGCTAACTAAAGTGGACAGAGTGCAGGCAGGGATTATGAAAGCTTTTCCATGCAGTCTTATCCTCAAATGACAGATATCTTTCCAGATCTCAAAAGCATTTGTACTATATGGTTGAATTGGAGAAACTAGCAGTGTGTTGAGAGAGAGATGATTCCGAGCCTGATGTATTAGCCCGGTGTGCCATCTATCTGTCAACAGAGGCTGTATATCTGTTTATAAGATAATATAATACTTTAGCATTTTCTTAACACAGACACTATTCTTATTATTTATTTGTATTATGGTAGTACCTATTAATAAGTATAGGCCAGACTCTGCCCTCAACTGTGTCTGTGTAAATCAGAAGTAACTGAGACTAGAATCTGATGCTATGTCATTAAGCAAATGAAGTCTAGTAGTATTATTTATGTATTTGTATTTATTAAAAAACTAACAAAACATATCTGGATACTCTGTGAACCTCAAAAATTCAATACATTAAAAAAAATCCCAGCAACTTCAGTAGTATATAATAATATTTAGTAACCACATAGCACAAAAAAATATAGCAAATTCCTCATTTCCTGTATTACAAACATTCTTTTTTCGCAAAAATATAGAATGTCAGTTTACAGGTTTTCCTCTTAGCTACCCCATCACTGGTGGTGTGATTTTCTGGATATTACGATGGTATGTTTATCTAAGATGCCCATCACCAAAGTATCATATCCCCACTCTTTTTCATTTAGAGAAGAGTCTCTGAATTCAGGTCAGTGAGATGAAGGGCATTTGATTTACCAGATTTGCTTGGATTACTAACCAGAGTCCAAAAATCGAAGCCCACTGTCAATACTTCCCCCTACTGGAGAGCCTTTCGTTCTGCAATCCGGAGGATTCCAGCCAGGATTACAATGACAATGTTTCTTATTGTTGCATACCTGAAAACACAGGGGAATATAGCAAAATTACTCATTTAGTGAGTTTTCCTCAGAGATGAGTACTGTTGGGTACCTTCTAAGACAGTGGTTTTCAACCTTTTGTCATTTGTGGACCCCTAAAAAATTTCAAATGGAGGCGCAGAGCCCCCTGGAAATCTTAGACATAGTGTGCGGACTCCCAGGGGTCCACGAATCACAGGTTGAAGACTAGTGCTCTGAAATTACACTTTTCTTGTCAACCTCCTTGTTCTAGCTAGACCAAGGACTAATCCTGCTCCCACTGATATCAATATGAATTTTGCATTGACTTTAGTGGGATAGGGTGAGGCCCAAATTTTACTGAACAGTCTGACACTTCAGAAAATACACCAGACAATGAGCTGAAAATAAGACAGCATCTAACCTCCTCAAAAAGCTGTATAAATATAAAGCATAAAGCCCTTTGAGGCAAGTATGCTATACTGTACTGTTCCTTGGACCAGAGAGGTGGACTGACTTGCCCAAGGTCAACACCAAGGTAATGGCAAAACTGAAATTAGAACTCAGGGACTTGCTAGTTTTCCCTCCTGTCCTCAATCCACTACACCAGCATGGTTCCTCCCACTGTCTACAGTCATGTTACATTTTTTATAAATCTACACTAATTTGGTCCTGTTCAAAGATACAGATCTTGACCCTTATTTGATTTTTTTTCTTTTACTAATCTGCCCAAGCAATTAATCATTTCATAATTATATTGTGCATAACAATCTCTTTCTCACATTCTAATTTTGTTACTGGTTCTAAGAAAGAAAAATGGTGTAAATTATTTTACTCAATTATTCCCATAAATAACTGACAGTGGTATTGTGATTTTGGACCCCAAGTGTAAGCCCAAAAGGGCTTTTACAGCCAATCCATAGACACTTCAAAATGGGGTTTCATAAAGAAAGAACTTCCTGAACAATATTAATAGAAGCAGTAACACCAAAATAGTAATATTATTGTTACTTACTCCATGACCGTTGCATTTTACTTGTGGATTACAATCATATCCCAGGACTGCATAAAACTGGCATGTGCGGTTTATACAAACCTAAACAACAAACAAACCCATAGCATAAAATTCCAATTCAAATGAGTCCGACAATCTTAGCATTCAGTATTCTGGCTGCATGCTCTGAAAAGAAGTCTAGAATGGAAAGGCCATATTACAGCTTTATGGAAATACTCTAATGCTTGCCAAAGGGTAACTGGCAATGCAGAATGAAGACAATTTCATTGTTGCTGCCTGTATTCTATAGGAGTGGCAGATTAAGAAGGGATGCTCAAGAAAAACTGCAATGAAAGAAAAGATACTGTTAATAACCACATCTACAAATAGCATGTATGTTTATACTTTTAAAAACAACGCAAAAGCACTTTGATTTGTCAATACATATGTTTTCTTAAGTTGAGTACTACTGTAACTGCTGGTGTTCTTTTCCTCCTCTGGTATAGTTTATATTCCATTGGCTGCTGAGTCCATTGCTAAGGGCCACTTTGTGCCTTACCCTTCGAGGGGTGCATGAGATGTGGGAGGAAGAAAAGCAAGGTGCTTTTTTCATTCTGTTGTGCAGCTCCAGTATGGGCCACACACAACTGCAGTTACCGGCAATGCCAAGTTGGGGAAGGGAGTCAAAGAGTCCGGGGACTGCCTCCTCCTTGCAACCCCGGGGTACAATCCACCCCAAAAGGGAAAGAGAGCAGGGCCCTCTGCACTGATCTGTGGAGAGAGACTAATGCACAGGGCAAAGGTGTGGAAGAATATGCTACACCCCATAACGGGGTACAGTAGCAGGCAGCTCCCATGTGCATTCGGGAGCTTCAGGAATTCCAACTCTGAGCCTCCCCCTGGGTGGCATGGATTAGCATCACTCTTTGTTCTGGGCTGTGTTCAATTTCTACCTTCTCTAGACCATTCAATGTTTTCTACTCTTTTATCATGTCCCCTCTTATTAATTTCCTTTCTAAAGTAAACAATCCTAATCTTTTCTATCTCTTTTCATATGACAGTTTTTCACGCCTCTAATCACTCTCGTCACTCTTCTCTGAATTCCCTCTAATTCTGTAATATCCTTTATGAGCTAGGGTGACCAATACTTCCCACAATATTCTAAATAAAGGTTTACCATCAGTGCATATAATAGCATTATAATATTTTCCATATTATTTTCCATCCCATTCTTTATGCATCCTAACATCGTGTTCAGTTTTTTGACCACAGCTGCACATTAAGCAGAGGTCTTCAATAAATTATCCACAGTGATGCTCAGGTCCCTTCCTGAGTTGACACAGTTAATGTAGAACCATGCAGAGTGTATCAGAAATACATATTTTCCACCAATATGTTTTACTTTGCATTTGCCAACATTGAACTTTATTTGCCATTGTGTTGCCCACTTACACAGCTTGGTTAAGTCTTTCTGAAGTTCCTCACAGTCTTCTCTGGTCCTGACTACCATAAATCACTTTGTGTCACATGCAAATTTGCTACTTCATTGCTCACCCATATCATTAGTAAATATATTAAACAAAACTAGATCTAATACAGAACTATGAGGCATCCCACTGTTAATCTTTTGCTATGATTAAAACTGTTCTTTGCTTCCTGTCTTTTAGGCCAGGTTTACACTACACGTTTTTTTCAACATAGCTCTGTTCAGGAGAGTGATGGGGTTTGGTTTGTGACTGACATACCTGCACCATCCTACTGTAGATGCAGTATCTGTACTAGCAAAACTGTGCCAGTTTACTTTTGCCAGTAAAGTCTATTTCGCTCAGGAGGGTTGGAATAAGCTACGCCTGAAAAAGCAGACTTTTGCTGTTATAAGCTGTTTCTACACTAGGAGTGATTTTTGACAACACTTTGCCTCAACCCCCCTGACTACTTATTCTCTTTAAGTAGCTTCTTGGGAAGGACTTTGTCAAAGGCCTTTTCAAAGTCTAAATAAATTATGTCAGCTAGTTCTCCTTTATCCACTACTTTACTGACATATTCAAAGAATTCTAATAGGTTGGTCAGACATGATTTTCCTTTGCAGAAACAATGTTAGTGTCTATCATTTCATGATCTTCCAGATATTTTACTATTCCATCTTTAATTATAATTTCAGCCAATTTACCAGGTACAGACGTAAAGTTTACAGGTCTCTAATTCCCTGGATCACACCTAGACTCATTTAAAAGCAACATTTGCTACTCTCCGATCCTCTGATTTAGTTGGTGAGTTTCTTTCTTTCTTTTTTTTTTTTTTAAAGAGAGATTGCATATTTTTATTAGCAGCTCAGTCACTTTGTACTTGAACTCCTTCTTAAATCAGGCCTCTTTCAGTGCCTGTGTTGGCCAGGATTCTCCACTTGTACCACTGCTTATTATTTTAGTAAATATTTGTTTTTAAATTATCTTCTCCCCTAAAACAGCACATTTCAACCTTGATTTTATTTTATATATTGGTGGAGGAATCCAAAATCAGACTTAGAACATGATCATGGTTGTACACTTAACTAGGGTAACACTATTTTGCAGCCCCCTAATGACAATTACTGAGACTGTAAGCAATTTGTGGAAGGGACTGTCTTTTTTATATATGTTTGTATAGCACCAACTACAATGGGACTAGGACCTCTAGGCCCTACTGTAAAACAAATAATAATGATGATTAAGTAGTAATAAAGTAATTCTCTAACACAGTTTAAAATACATTATAGTGAATTAAAACAAGGCACAGGGATTAGTCATGTGGCTAACACTGGAATGGGTTACCTAGGGAGGTGGTGGAATCTCCTTCCTTAGAGGTTTTTAAGGTCAGGCTTGACAAAGTCCTGGCTGGGATGATTTAGCTGGGGATTGGTCCTGCTTTGAGCAGGGGGTTGGACTAGATGACGTCTATCATTCTAAAGGTCTACAATAATCATCCATCATCACTCTAGACTGAAAATTTTCCTCTGGAGTTAAATGAGTAAGTAAATAAAACATCAGTAATGAATAACCTTGAGCTATGTTGCCAAAAGGTAAATATTTCTACAACTTAATCAAGTTTACAAAGTCCACATACATACTGACATTTTAGATGCTTATAAAATATTTCCTTACTTTACCAGGCCCACACTTTGTGCCTTCTTTAACCAGTAGAGGGTCATTCTCTGTGGGTGGCTTCATATAATCTAAAGATATACATACATGCTCGCGCACTTGAGCATAAATGATAGCAGCTTTTTCTTTAGTGAATGGAATGCGACTTGGATATGTACAAACTAACTTTCCACATGTGACATCCCTATAAAATTCAATAGCAGAGGAAAATAAAATGATACATGTGACAGCTGATTGAGCAATACATTAGAAAAATGAAACTGTAGAAAACAAATAGGGTATTGCACATATTAGAGCGATATAAAGGTCATGAGCAGGGCAAAGAAGGCAGAAGACTGATCTTTGAAATAAGGAGCGAACTGATGCAAATCCACCAGATTACTCTTGCCTGCAAATGGGAATGAGGCCACAGTGGGGCACATATAAGAACATCAGAATGGCTATACTAGGTCAGACCAAAGGTCCATCTAACCCAGTAGCCTGTCTTCTGACAGTGGTCAATGCCAGATGCCCCAGAGGGAATGAACAGAACAGGGAATCATCAAGTGATCCATCCCCTGTCGCCCATTCCCAGCTTCTGACAATCAGAGGCTAGGGACACCATCCCTGCCCCAATAGTTTTGTGCTTCATGGACATGCAAGGATTAAACTTAAGGTCATGGTTTTTTTCAGTTATGTTCATTCACGGCCCACACCTCAATCTTTATGTACCATGTGCTCTTCTGGTGGAAGAGGAAGCAGGTGTGCAAGGCATTAAGGTCTATTCTGTCCAGTGTGGAGCAATACGCCTAGTCAATAACCTTACTTGGATCCAAGCACAGCTTCTGCTAATACTTGCATTCCATGCTACAGTATCAAGGTCTA